GTTATTTATGCATGTATATATGCGTGTGCGTGTGTGTGTGTGTGTGTGTGTGTGTGTGTGTGTGTGTGTGTGCCCCGCCCCTATCCCAGCGGTAAGTGGGCTTTGGGCCAGAAGGCCGGATGCCAGGAGGCATCAGGCCGTCCAGCCCTCAGCCTCCCGGTCCCCACACACACTCGCAAACACCACAGAACACAGATTAGTACATGCCGAATCTGGTAATCAGATGGGCTTTCACCATATCATCAATCATTCTCCCGGGTTGGTACCTCTGCCTGTTCCGAAATACTCTATCTATGATCTTCCAACATTCCTTTCTACTGAAGTCGTTTGAGACCATGATTTGGACGAGGTTGTTGATCTCGAGAGCGGCTTCTTGCTCGTCTGAGCAGATAATGAGAATCATGACGGTTAGAGCAGTCAGGATCTGCAAAGACTGTGCGATAGAGCGGTTTGATTTGAACTTCATGAATCTCACTGGAGAGAATGAGAGTCGTTTTTTTTTGTCACGTTTCGAGGTGGAGTACGTGCCGTTTAGGGTGGACGTGATTGTTAACGAGAGGTTAAAAAAATTCGCTGCCCTCCCGTGCCCATCTATTATGAGTTCGGTTGTTTCCCTGACTTAATGAAATCATGCGGGTAGATTCTACGACTAGGGTTTTGGTTGGGGACTCCATGTTTGAGAAACTCGGCAATAATTGTGTTGTTTAGCGAACACAGATCGTCGATGTACCTGTAGGTATCTTCAAAACACCTAACCGCCATCCAATCCTGCATCTCGACCAGGTAAGAGATCAGGTCAAACTCGTAATTAAAAAAATAAACATCACAGAAGATGGGGGAACATGCCAGACCCATGGGAATCCCGAGGACCTGCCTCCAGACTTTGTCCCCCATCTCCACAATACCGTTGGAGATGAGCCAATCACAGGCGTCGATGATCCCCTGCTCGTCAAAATATAGTTTGTCCCTATCCCTGTCCTGAACACCATCCACCTAGTAAGGGTGAGGCGTGCCATTGGCCGCTATCCTGATTGCAACCACAACCCTGGACGTTCTGGCCCTCCTCCACTCCATGGCGCAACAAACGAAGAACTTATTGCCTCCAGCAGACCATCCTCCGAACCGTCAGTGGGTATCGTCTCGAAACATCTGGTGATATCTCCCGTAAAGATGGAGTACACGTACCGCGGGATGTTGGCCACGAATTCCCCGATCGAGGAGATCGGCCACCAGAAGTTGGGTCTGACGCCATGTTGCGCACGAATCTCCTGGCTTCTGCAGGTGCAGAGGGCTTGTACATCTTCCGCAAGGAGCTTCAACATGCTTTCGCACATGCTTGCGATAGGGGTGAGTACTGATCCCGCAGTGTTTGTGATCCACCTGAAAGTCTATTTGTGCGCTTTGTAAACTGTCATGAGGTGCGGGAGCGGAAAAAACTCATGCCCAACATGGGTGATGGCCGCAGCCTCCTGCAACAATCTAGCTGCTACCTGTGCTGGCTCCTATGAAAGAGATGCGAAGTCGGGCTTGGAGAGCCTGCGCAAAGCCAGCCTCTTGATGAAGTTGATGCAGACGAATGTGGGGGTGTGTGGCGCTTTGTCCGTTGGGCAGATTAGATACCTACTGGTCAGCCACTCAAGCTCGCTCCTCACTGTCACGTCGTTAATGGGCTCACCTCTAATGTGCATGTGCTTCGTACGATAGCTCCTGATGCATTGCCTTGCGTTCTTCAGCACGCTGGCCTTGACCCGCCTCTCCTCTTCCATGGATAGCTCCTCGTCACATTTACGCGTGGTATCTTATCGAGCGCCAGCTCGACTTCGTCGATCGTGAATTCCTCATCAAGCGCTGTTACATCTTCGACGCACACGGGTCCTACCGGACCCGACTTAGGGCCGGAGGAACACATCAGGGCCTAAAGGCCCGACCTTGGGGTATTACAGGCCCTCAGGGCCTGATCTTGGACCAGTACCCGACGGGCAGGCCCAAACGGCATTATCGTTTGGGCCTTGCGGCGCTCTTGAGGCTGCCGCCCGCCGGTTGGGGCTGAACCGTCCATCTGGACGGTTCAGGGCATGGCCAGGCCTCGCAGCATTGAGGCCGGGCTCTGCCCCACCGGTATAAAGTACCGGTACA